TAGAGATTCGGAAAGAGAGGGATTCGGTAAGAGTAATTCTCCGCTATAATTGGTATTAATTATTCCACGGGTTGATATTTGATGCAGGGATTTCATTCTTACCGAAGGTATTTAAAGTGGTATTTTATTCGAGGGCGAGCTCGAGCGGGCGAAATCGCAATTCGTGCGAATTCCACTCCCGGAACACTCGCGAGAAATGAGATTTCTCTTTGAAGCGAGCAGCTCACCTCGGACCGGAACGGGATCGCGAAAAAACAAAATCGAGAGGCGATTAAGCGGCTGCGAAAGGGCCCGCCCGATGGCCGATCCATTAGCGGGGCGCAAAAGCGGGAAAGAACGCGAGTGCCCGAGTCGGTCGGCAAATGCGAATCAACCGAAATGCTCCTCCGATAATCGGCCCTAAATCATGCACCGGGCCATCGACATGCGAATAGGGCAAAATGAATAATCACCGCAGCCCGCGCGAGTGCGTTCGCACTGGCAATAATTGACGAGTTGGCCCCCCTCCCTGGCAGGTCCCAGAAAGTGCACATCCCGACATTGCTCTTTCAAAAAATAGGATAATAACTAATAATATACGGACACATTCCTATTTCGACACTTTTTGACGTAAGAAGTTTTTCAAACTTCACTTAGCAGAAATACGCTCGGGATTAATCGATGTTAATTTACCACTGATTGGGAGAGGATAGGAAGATGTAGGACAATCGAGAAATGTTAAAAGTGGAAGGTATGTACCCTTGAAGTGTGATTAATGAGGTTGGAAACGTATGCTGGCGCATGCGCGCGGGTTGGTGTTCGCGGAGTGGGGGATGGTGGGGGTAGGGACTATAAAAGGACGCGACGGCCCGCGAGAGCGTCATTTGCCGCGCGCCCCTCGAGGAGTGAGGACGCCTTAGGGAGGCGCCATGATAATACTTTCACATTGGCAAAGCAGTTGCATAAAAATACATACTGATATTCCTGATGCAAGTCCTCACTCACAATGAACGTTTATTCCAGTGAACCCATTTGATCTGGTCAAAGTCTTGAATTGAAGTTTCCTTTACAGGGTAGATATATCGATGCACGTATGCGTTGATATCTCATGAAGATGTGGAAGGAAAGAACCCGCAAACCATGCCTTATTCTCAGGTGCATCCTGGTATACCACGCCTGCGATTATGCCCATTCCGGGCGCATGTAAATGCAACCGATTATTCATTTCCCCGGCACGATTAGTATCCATACGAGATGGCTCGATGCATTATTTAACGGCGGTCAGAGCCCGCGCATGTCGGTTAATTCGGAGTTACCCACTTTTCGAGGCTCGCAAAATTTCTCCGCCCTGAAAGTTCCAAATACCAAAAATTTTTCTCTCACTTTCCGATATATGAAGAAACAAGAAAATCCCATTGGAAAATATCCATACCTTCGGACTAATTTACGTGATCTACCATATTTGACGTGATCAACCAAACGTTATTGACCAAATAATTTAGTCGTGCCGGCGAAATATCTGGCCGTCCACATAATAAACGTATTCTATGATTACCCCAACAAAAATGGCATCGATTTAACCAAATATATTTCTGTGTGCACTCGTCCCCTTCGTTATTGAACTTCCTCGGCGCAAAAGTCGGCGTATTTGCCGATGGAAACAGATATTTGGGGGATGCGCGTATCGGGTGATCACCGGCGGCCGTTCCGACACGCGAGACACGCGGACGAAATGCCGCGCTCGTTAAAGCGGCCCTAAAATCGGCCCGTTAGCCGTATATCTCCGTATCGTAATGGCGGCCGGTAATTCGCAACGGTTAACGAGGCAACTTTAATAAAATTCCTCTATCCGGGGGAATTTATTCCATTTATAATCCAAGTGGCCGGCGACGGCGGTTGCTCTCGGAGGCGTGCTCGCGCGGACCCGCGGCGGAAAGGACGGCCGACGGAGACCGCGTTAAGTCCTAATAGAATGGTAAATACTTAATTAGCGCTTTCGCGAGGCCCCCCGCGAAGCACCGCCGGGAAATCACGGGCGGCGCACCGGGCCTCTGCTCCACGGCAAACGTAGCGAGAAACCGCTCCGCGTTTTATTCCCCCGTAGGGGTAACAAGGCGACGCGGTGCTTAACACGGAGGTAATCCGCGGAAAGAGGGAGAAAACCGGACGGGAAAATTCCCGTCGCCTGGAGATGCGAAAATTTACCGCTCGCGAAAAATTCGTCGCGTTTGTGCCAGGGTCCTGTGGAAGCTGACTGGGCCAAAGAGTATTAAATAGAACTCCCATAAGACCGCAATGTATTTTTGCGAATGCGGCCTTCGACGCTATCTCCTACTAAATACTCCTTCTATCTCGCAGAATCTCATTCGCCAGGAAATTTGAATAGGTCGAAAGGAAGCCAAAATGAAATTGACACGACAGATACGTTTTAAGATAATATCTATTTGACAAAATAATACTATGTACGTACAGTTAAATTGAAATGTGATATGTAAATTCTCCTTATGTACCTACAAACTGTAATATACAGTTATTGCAATTTTCGAAATCGGAAAGACGAAAATGTGAAAATGCGAAAATGCGAATATGTTAAGAGACGGAAATGTGAATATGTGAAAATCTGACTCTCACTCTGGATCCATTTGTTCCGTAAGCACATTTTGTACAGTCATCTGATGTCGAATTGAGGGGATAGCATCACGAACACGTGCTGGCCTGGAATGCCGTTTCCGCACAATTTTTTAGTGGAAACGGTTCTCGAACCGACAAAGGTACGTTCAGGTATTCTCTCAACCATCAATTTCGGGCAGATCTCAGAAAAAGTCAAGTATGTCCTCCCCAATTTGGGACCCTGTAAACCCCGACCAATTTGAAAATTCAGTCATTACGGTGCACCCCTTTTAGTGAAGTCTCATTAAATCCCTAAACTGTAAACCCGAACATTTTCGGAGTTTAAATGGAAATCCGGAGATGATCCTCTGTTATCGCGAAGAACATTTTCTAGGGGGTCGTTCCCAGAAATCCGGGATACGGACCCGATGAGGATCGTCTCTCTGCCGACTTATCGGCCCGGCAAAACGAACCGTTTGCGGCGAAGTTAATGGGAATATCATTATTACGTCGGCCGTTTCTCATTCTAACAAACTGTGAGAGGGATGCATTAATCTCGCGGGGCGATGCATCACCATGCGGCGCGAGCGCCTCGGCTGCTCGCATCGGGGAGTGCATCGGGGTACGTACGGAGTTGGAAATATTTCACTTGGCCTCGCCGAAATACCTTTAGCGCGGCCCCCCGCGAAGCCGCATCCATTCCCGTCGACAAGCTTGACCGTTTATCCGCAGCGAAACGGCCGGAAGCGGGCCGCAGCCGATCCTGCACCAGGTCGCGGCCCCTGCGAGCTGCATCGAAAGGGGATGAAAAGCGCATCCAGGCCATCAATCGCGAGATCAAACAGCGGATGGCGATCCGCGAGAAAATTCATCTGACGCGGGGACAAATTTCAATTGTTTTCCCGCGGGACAGAAATCATGCCAGACGTCACGGCGGAGTCGAACGGGAGGAAAGGACAGGTGAACAAAATATTCGGAAAGGGGTTCGTCGGGGCTCGAAAGGCTCCCACGGAGTTTCGACCCAGCCGAGGCGAAACGGCATAATCGCGCTACCAAACTTTCTACTTAGGCGCACACTTTTGCCTCACCACCGCCCAGGCCCCATTGGCCATGTATTATTCACGGTTACGAGTCTGACGTTTTACCCGCGAATGCTCTAACCAAGCCGAAATCTTTCGGAGGGAACCCCGAGTTCAAGCCTCTAAGGGGCTCAGCCGTGACTTCGAGGTATGCCGAGGAAAAGAATGCATTTAACCGAAGAAATACGGAATAGTGCGAAATAACTATACCTTTTGTTTCAACGAATTGGCTCAACCATGTTGATATCATTCCAAGTCCACTTTATTCGATTTTGAGTCAAATCATTATTCCTTGAATTATGGAAATGTTTCCTTAGTACTATTCAAAGAGATATTGCTCTGGTTCAATGACCACTTGTCTCTCATTATTATACCCGAATTAGAGGGCAAGTATGAATTTCAGGTGTTAAGCATTACATCGACATTAAGTATCTTGTTTTGTGCTGAATATAAAGCGCCTTTGTACTGAGATTAATAGCGCGCAGGTAATAATTATAAATTTTAACAGCGCACTGACGTTAAGCGGGGAAAATGGGAAGGTGTAGGAAGATTGAAGTAATAATGGGAGAAAAGATCCACGTCGAACGAACCACGTGACAGTGGAAGAAGTCATGCTGCGACCGTTCTTCCGCGGATTTAGAGGAAACTCTTCCTCGGAAGACTGCATGGACCCAGCATCCGAGAGATGCATCTCGAGGCGAGATAGGTGAGACGGAAGAGGCCTGCCGGCGGAAGAAGGGGATGCACGTCGACCAGGGATAGTCGGCGAGAGAAGGACAGAGGACGATGCATATGTAGGAGAGGAAACGAGAGGAGGTTAACCCGGAGACCCTGAGGAAGAGAGAGACCGCGCGCAAAAGTTCCCCTCTGTCAGGTTCCGGGCAACGAGGAGGGTGAGACTCGGAGAAAGAGAGAAAGCCGGGGCTCGTTAAGTGCGATAAAGCGATCCACGAGGCACTAATTCACGGAAGTCAGACCGAAGTGAAGGTCTGCCTACGGGAGTTCCGTCTTCTTCTGACCCGCAAGCGGAGACGCATGGCCGCCTACCGGCCGCAATTAGTCGCGGACGACAAATAGACGAGAGACGCGCGTCTCGCGACGCCGCTCGTGCGGGGGCGATCGGGAAATTGGATGAAAGTCATTTTTGTCAACGATGAAGGTCTCATCCATCTCACGTGCCCTTTACTTCATTATCTAATTTTGACATGCATTCAAGTGACACCTCTAATGGCTCGATATTACGAAGTTACGACAGGATATTCGGAAGATGAAAGGGTATTTTTTAAATCCTAATAAATTCTAAATAAGTAATTTCGGCATTGTTGAATTTCAAATTGTTTTCCAGGATGGTAATCAGTGACTGCACTTGGCAAGGTTGGCATTAAAATCATAGTTCATTGCTCTGGGTATGTTATAAATTTGTTTGCTGGATGTTTAATGTAGCTCTTTAGTTTTATGAAATAGGGTATTCAAGAACACCTTGTCGGACCTAGAGAAACTGCAGGGGGAATGGATACCCATGAGAGGATCAGGGGACAGAGGTAGCACCTCGGGCTCGGATTACTTTCGCCCATCCTCCTGGTTAATGCATATTTGCGCGTATTCGCGCCTGGACCGCGGCTCGCATGCAACAAGGCTCAACGAGCGAGGCATACGCAACGGTAATTAGATAATAGGAACGAGCCGTTCGGGAAGGACGGTTTTCTCCCAGTTGGTCATAGAGTGCTCGGCCGAGCGCTGAGTCTTCGTCGTTGACGAGGATCCAAAAACCGGTGAGAGATTCGGAGTGTGATGAGCAAAACGGGTCTTGGTCTTATAGCCTCGACCTTAAACTCGTTAATAGTGGAACAAGTGCAAGACCAAGACGAAAGCGAGGTCCTGATCATAATTGGAAGACCAAGACCAAGACTCAACTATACAAGACCAAGATCAACCCTATAAGACCAAAACCCATTTTGTTCCTCATCGGATTCTGAAAGATCATCAAGGAGTTCTTTAACGACCTATTTCGGTGTAGTTCTTCAAGATGCACCGCTCAACTCTTGGTAGCTTGGTGCTGCTCGCCATTGTGATCATCAGCGACGTCCTTGCCAGGAAAGATTACGAGGGACCAACAGTGAACACAAGGTTCGGACCTGTTCGAGGGAGACTCATGTTGTCTGCAAGGAGGAACCTGCTGAGTGCTTTCCTCGGCATCCCATACGCGCAGCCCCCCATTGGGGAGTTGAGGTTTCAGGTGAGGTTTTTTGGAGAAAAGGTGCCTTGAGTAGTGGTCAGTAGATAGTGGACCGTGTGGTGTTGATGTGCTGTAATTTTTTGGAATTTCTTCAGAGCCCTCAACCATGGAACGGAACATGGACAGAGCCGAGAGACGCCACGGTCGACGGTTTCCAATGTGCCCAGATCCTGAAGAGTCGCATCATTGTTGGGAATGAGGACTGCCTCTTTCTGAATATCTTCGTGCCCCATAAGGTAGGACGTCTCTAAAGCCAGCAGAGGCACTTCAACGGGAATGCATCGATAACATACCAAAATGTATGGATTTTCTAAGAGATACATTAAGCACCCCGAAAATTTCTTAATAGATATTTTCAAAATTTGTATAAAAAATGAAATTCCGCGACTTTCGGGACCTACATTGGGGTCTCCTTATTCATGTGGTAAAATTAGAAATAAATTGATTCATTCAATTAGGAGAATACTTTCACGAACGATTGACCTCTCAGATGCCACTTTCGTATCACCTGAAGGGTGGCAAGGTAGGGCTCTACTTTTATCCTTGGATTCTCTTCTCCCTTGGTTCTTCGTGTACCGGCGAAATCATGTTCATTGATGGATTCAGCTTCACCGGCAAAATGCACCAACTTTACAAATGCGCATTTTTGAGAGCACGAGCTGGTACCAGGAAACGAGGTCCATTAGTCGACAAGGTCGCAGCTCGATTTAATTAATCTCGCAATCGTCATCGTGACCCAAGCCACTTATGGCCCCTTTGTGGCCCGGCTTGTTGTGCATCAGCTCGGAATGTACTTCTGAAGCTGGTCGAATGCACGTTCGTTCATTTTCTAATTCGTCTAGGATTTGTTGCAGATGCTGGGGTACGACGACAGGCTAGAAGGAGGGTCCAGGAAGATGCCGGTGATAGTGTTCGTGCACGGGGGTGCGTTCACGAATGGCAACAGCTTCAGCTGGGTTTATGCTCCGGATTACCTGCTGGACCAGGAAGTTGTCCTGGTGACCATCAATTACCGCGTGGGAGTCCTGGGTAGGTTTCAGCTGCATTCGAAATTAGTCTTCTCGACGATAAACACTTTACTCTTCTAATGGACCAGCTCTGGTATATTTTTACACAATTTCAAACGCCATGGTTGTGTGTATATATATACACACACACATCACAAAGTCAAAGTATTTATAAAACTTTTTTCCAAACTGGGTGCACCGAATAATTTAAAATCTTAACACATGATTATGGAGGTACTAATGAAGGTCTTGACACACACGAAATTTCCAGAGCCATTTCCTCGTGAACCACTTTTATTTTTTATTCTCAGGATTTTTTAGTACCGGAGATCAGAATGCTCCTGGGAATTACGGTTTAAAGGACATCTGGATGGCTCTGGTCTGGATCAACGAAAACATCGTGAATTTCGGAGGGGACCCGAATTTGGTGACCCTGATGGGCCAAGAGGCAGGAGCCGCTGCGGTGCACCTGCTCTCCTTGTCCTCCAAGACTGAAGGCCTCTTTCAAAGGATCATCACCCAGAGTGGCTCGGCATTGGCACCCTGGGCCTTCCACTCCAAGGAGAACATCAGAAATGTGTCCCTGGAGCTCGCCAGGCTCTGCAATTGTTACATCGAGAGGCAGAATCCTGAGACGACGATGAACTGTCTCAGGGACACCAACCTGACGTGCATCGTGAACATGTCCACCTTCTACGTGAGCACTTGAAATAAAAAATCTTCTCAAGCAAAAAAAAAAGGAAACAGATCTGGGTATTCATTTTTGTAGACCGTGTGGGACGACAATCCTTGGTTCGTCTTTGGTCCCACCGAAGAGCTCGAATCCGACGAGGCGATTATTACGAGGCACCCCCTGCTGCAAATCCAGCGAGGACTCTTCAGGGACATCCCCTGGATCATCGGCATCACTGCTGATGAGGGACTCGTCAAGACCATAAGTATGAACTCCCCGTGAAAATAATTTTTTCATGTCGATGTCTATCACTTTGGTCGATAGATATCATCAACGCGACGATGAAAATGATTTCTTCATGTTGATGTCTGCCACTTTGGTCGATAGATATCATCACCAACCAAACGATGAAGGCAGAATTGTTAAACGACCCTGAGTACATTCTGCCTTACCTTTTGGAATACGAGCAAGTGGTCTCAAACGTTAGTCAGTTCGTCCAGACGCTGATGGAGTTCTACTTCGAGCACAACCCGTTGGACTACAATGACATATTATTTCGACAACACAACATTACGGAGGTGAAGGATTTCGGCGACTTGACGACGATCAATTATTTAAATAGGGAGAAATAGGGCATTTAAATTCTTTTCAAGAATTGTTTACAGCCATTTGAAAAATGTTGTCAAAAGCATGAAATTTCATAGGTGTCAGGAGCATGTTTATAGCCTCCGTATTCATCTTGTAAAGTCTGAAACGATTCGGTACACCCAGTTCGGGGAAAAGTTTCACGATTGATTGTCTCCTCTGACGTTCATATCCCCTTAACAGCTAGGACCCTTAAAACTTCTAACTTTTTCCAGATGGTGAACGACGCCATGATGCGATGGCCTTTATACCAGACCCTGAGGATGCAAGCCGACCAGATGACGTCCGACGTTTTTTACTACCTTTTCTCATTCGAGGGCACTTTTTCCGTGAGTTTTGCCCACGGAGTAGAACGATACGGTAAGGATTGTTATCCTAAGCCTGACGAATTAATCCGACAAGGTCGACAACAATTTTGAACGGTCCTGAATTCAGGAATAGCTAACTCGGACGATCTGAACTACATTTTCCCCGTCTTCAACAACATCTTCAGGGACCTCGACCTGGAGAACATGGTGGAGGACTGGACCATGATACACGTGATGACCGAGTTCTGGACGAGTTTCGCTAGAGATGGGTAATGTTTATATCTCGCACGTGGATATTTCGCGTACCTGAAGAACGACCTAAATCACGGCCCTGATTAGGCTTTACGGGCAGCCAACATTTGCACAAGGTAACCGGCTGATTTCGGTAATTGGCTTAATGGTCCATTATGTGCTCGCAGGATTCCCCGCGCGAACCTGCTGTCGGACTGGGAGCCCTACCAGCGAAATCACAGATTCATGAGGATCGGCTTCGGGAACTCGCCGGAAATTTCAATGGAGCCCGATCTCCTGCACGAGAGGATGATCTTCTGGAAACAGCTGATGGCCAACGTGTCCCTGCCGATACCGATTCGTCCTGACGAGCCGAACGAGGAGTTTCGTCCGATCATATCAGCAGCTGACTTAATTCAAGGCATCCCTCCGGTCGTCCTAGCGTTTCTGACAATAATCCCAATTTGTCTTCGAGAGCCAAAATGGCACCCAACAAATGTACTCCACTCTCTTCGAGCCTGAGAAAATTATTCTCGAGACATGTCCGGAAATTTCAAAGAAGTCCAAGAGCAAGGGGCTGTTCACTGGGAGACTAGCGAAAACGAGTTTTTTCTTTGAAAACCGATTGCCTACGATTTTATATGATAAAAGACAACGCGATTCGATAACAAATGACGTTCAGTCATAAAATTGTGACAATTTTTCGGTGATTTCGGGCATTAAAGTCCATCATTTCCGGAGTAAATAGCCCCTTGTCCAAGAAAAGGTACACGAAGAAGTGCCCGAATAGAATGGAAAAGCATATAAATACATATATTTTGTACATAGTAGGGTACTAAATACTTGTTTTGTATAAACGTGGATGTATACATAAAAGAGGAGGTGGTTCCCTGAATTCTTGTGAGTTTTCGGGAATGAACTCTTTCCCTGGGTTTTTGATTTCCCTGTAATTCGAATTATTTCGATCGAGCCGTATGCAAGGTATAGCTCCTCGCGGTTTCTCGACAATTAGGAAATGTACATCCCGGGGGGTAAAAAAGGACCGGTGGGCGAGGCGCAGCAATTTGCGCAAGGTATCTCTTTGGGAGCGCGGCTCGCCGCACTCCTCGGAGGCAAATGGGCTGTCAGAAAACGGGGAATAACGTTTGCGAGCATCCTTCGGGCTTAATATCAGGGCAAAGGTACAAAGCGCGCCCGGGACGGGCGCACGTCGTCCGGGAAACCACTCTCATCAGGAAGGGTTAACAATCCCGACCGCGTCCGCGCGAGGCGGTCCCTCTGCGCAAATTGACGGCATTTACTTCGGCGTTCTCGGGGTTACCCTCGGCCGATATGCCCGGGAAAGAATAACGAGCTCCCTCGAAACGAAGTGTCCGAGTTGACAAACACTCGGCCGGCTCTATAAACTATGCACTCGGCGTCGAATTAATCATCGACACCGTAACCCTGTCTGTCACTGGCGGCCCTTTTGTCTCGCCTCCCGGTGCACCATCCATTTCCCGGGGTCGCGAAAAGACGGACGTTTAGCGCGGAGGACCCAGACGAGGACCTAGACGAGGGACCAGACGGGGATCCGAGCGAGGATCCGGAGCTCGTAATTCTCCAGAGACAACCGGGGATTATTTACGTCAAGGATGCGCCTTCGGGGCGCGCCACTCTAGGCTTGGTCCCCGTCAAGGCAGGACTCGGCGTCGCGATCGCGAATATGGACGTTTCGCGAGAGAGGAGCCCAGGACCAAGTTTTGCAACTCGAAATCCGTGCTCCCCATCTATTTCGAGGTTGAGATAGTTTAGTAACTTGCAACGCGGGATATATTTATATTCGAGAGTCCTGGATTCTGCCTGGGTCTTAATCACGAAGTACCCGATGTAACGATTGGGCGTCTTGTTCAAGAGAAACCGAAGACCGACACGACATTTTCGAGCCCAAAATTCAGGTTCTCCATTCCTCGCGATCATTATTAACGTATTTCCCAATTCACTTTGAGGTTACGTCCAATTATTTTCATAAAAAATTATATCCCTTCGTTATTAACGCTTCTCCAGATTCTATTTTTTCCATTAGCTCTTGAAACATCCGACGTTACGACTGGACTGTGCCTAAGTCAAGTCGAACCAAGTCTTGGATTCGAAAATCCGCGTTCTCCACCCCCACGATTTTGAGGTTATCTCTGATAATTTGCATCGCGGAGTATGCCCGTCCTGGAGACACGTTCCTGGGAGTTCACCCCGAGTCTTGTTACCAGAACCCGAAGTAACGATCGAACCTTGCACCGAGCCACTTTGACCTCGTCGAGTAGTGCGGAGGATTTAGCGCAGATTGCGAGCGCCAACCGCGCGGCGAGGACGCGGCGGATCGCGCGCGGAACCCCGCGGGCTCCCTTAAGGATCCGAGGAAAGGACTCGCTACCTTTGAAAGCGTTCGAGAGGCGCCTCTTGTGGGGAAATCGAGTCGCGAGGGCGAGCTCGTCTCCAAGACTCGCGCTCGAACCCCGGCTTTGTGGACGAGTCCTAAGCGGACTGCTCGTAATCCGATTCCGCCCATGGCGGATGCCCGCCAGCTCTCCGGTGTGGTGGTTTCCCTTCAAAAAACCGCAACCGTGCCGGGCTTTTCCGTCCAAAAACCGCGACTCCGCGGAGCATACCTTCAGACCCCAAAAAGGGCCCTTAAGGTATTACAAAAGGGTTATTTTATATATATTCGAACGTACAACTTACAAAACCTTTCTCGAAACTCCGTGTACCGAATCATTTGACACTTCAGCACGTGATTATGGAGGCAATTTTCAATTTTTATGAAAACGCGTCCTTGGTTCTAGTCGGAGATAGAAAGTGTTATTTTGCAAAAATGAAGTTTAAAAAAATTCCGTGTATCCAATTTGGAGAAGAATTTTATAAATATTTGGACGTTTTGATACATATGGAATGATCCTTTCATAACACTTTAATAACGCAATTACCCTGTCCAACATCGATCAGAAATCATATTAAAAAATAATGAAATAAACTCCACTTATGGCTGAATCAAACCATTAACAATGAAATAATTAATAATTCATTAAAATTACACCTGCCATATTCCTCGATGTTTCGATGTATCCCCGGCATAGTCTCAGTGGCACAGGTCATGCTTAATAAAAAGATTTGAAATAATATAATCAATTAATAATTCACTGTATGTACTCTACCCATCAATTTTACATACATTACAGGCGCGAGTAAAATTACCCGGGGCGACTCCACTGAATCTCGGATACAATAATTCATAAGTCAGAAATTGTGCTCGGCAAAAGTGATTCCAATAAATAATTAATCATTTTATATAGTACGTCCCTCGATTTGTCATGCATTACAGGTGCAGGTACAATTTTCCGGGACAGATCTGGATAACGGATACAATAATAACGTCGATTAAAAGCAATTGCCCGGAGTTCGACCAATCGGCCAACTTGCCCCCTCCCCCCAATATGTCGATGATCGGCCCCCGTCGATCGTGATACGCACGTATATACATATATTTTAATTGAATGTGAATTTAATCACAACGAGTGGCCGGAATCAATTAACTTAGGGAACGCCGCGTCGCCCGTTGGAATTTTCGCGTAATGAATTATTATTAAAGAGCATAGAGGACGTTTCGATGCAGCCGATGCTTCCCAGCGGCGGAGGGGGCGGGGAAGGGGGAGGGGGCCGAGTATATACATACAATTCTGCATCGACGAGGATGCCCGTGAGGGGCAAGTCTAATTAAAATTTTGTATTTTGAGCCGCAACCGCGATCGAGATCGAGCCGAGCAGAGGCAGCCAATTAAATCGACGAATCCATCGACAAAATCAACGAGAACGACTCGCCCCCCGCGGCCCCTCTTTTTTATACTGTTTTTATATTCACCCTACTCCCCCCTGGGCGGGAAAGAAACCACATAATTTCCCTGTACACCGGTACTCACTATGCCGGTAAAAAAAAAAAACATTACGTTCACCCACCTCGACGTTTATTATCTCGAAATCATCGCCATTCTACGTGAATTAATTGGTCCTTCCAGTTATATTAAATGTTTATTTTGTTTTTTGTATTTTTTAGAGGTTTTTTTTCAGTGCGATGCGGGATACGCCTCCGCGGAAAGAGAATTCACAGTCATAATAAGAAATTTCACTTGCTGCAAGAAATGTGAACACTTGAAAATGGGCCGGTAATGTTTTTGCTATGTTGACGACAATGAAAAAAACGATTACTTCACTGGGGCAACAGAAATTCTATTCACAGTTGCAATATTCTTTTCCAGCAATAACAAATTGTATAGCGGTGTTTCGTTTGAGTAGGGACATTATTTTTTGACTCTTGCAAGAAATTCATTTGCTTGTTTAGCAAGCATTTTTACTAAAGTGCGTTTTCTAGTGGTTACGTGCACGGTTCGATATAATTGTAAATATTTTCATTCTTCGTGAGATTATATCTGTTGCAAGGGAAAAACTTGATCAGCGATGCTGTTGCGTGCTAAAATAGAAATGTCTATTTTTTCCGTGCCTAGATAAGTTCCTGGTGTATTTTTTGGGGGACTTTTATGGAACGTTTCTCGAAAGTTGCGAAACGACGGAAGGAAAAATCGATTTTCTCGCGAGCTCTTCCTTTACCATTATTTTTTCACCTTTGACAAATGTCCCGCTTGAAAACCGCCCTCGGTCTACGTCGGCGGGGCCCGGCGCGGCGGAACGTACGCGGAAACTTTCCGCCGGCGTTGTCTGGTGAGAAAAGTTCCGGCGAACGGGTCTGTCTTCCCGGATCCAAAAACGCGTCCCGAGGGACGCGCTCGTTATCCGGGATAGCCGTGACACCTCGTGTCCGAGGGAACTGTCAAACGCACGTGGCGCGCGCGGAAGCGGGTCGGCCGCGCTGCGGACGCACGTCAGGGGACAATCGGCGGTGTCAACTTATTTGTCCATGCAAATCACCGATCAATGGATCGATGTATCAGGATTTTCGTTAATCCGGTTGCCAAAGCGGGGAAGAAGTGCATCGCGGTAGGAAAAAGTGCATCGACACGGCGCATCCCCGAGCGACACATGATTAATTTAATTGGATTTCATTTAACGTCCTTTGCGTTTCGCAAGGCAAAGTGCATTCTGATGTTATCTCATCCCCCGCGTAGACTAGTTCTAAGGGTGAACTAAGTAATTACACCTTTAAGAATGATTGTAAACCCCATACAATTAAGATACCCAATGTTGCATAAAATTTAAAAATCCGATGCGATGATGTAAATCAGTACATAAATTAGTACAATGAAATGTACAAACAAGTCTCGAATTTCGCGCTATTTTATCTAGAATCCATTAAACCAGTTTGCAGAATTAATAAAACATTTTTTATTAAATCTAACTGCGAAGGTGTTAAGGATTCGACATAGCGTGTGTGAATAAAAACTGCAATACAGGTTCCATGAATTTGTTAGCTTATTTTTTTAATAGTGTAGGTACAGCATTATCACCCCGTTTCTCACACGTCTACCTATTTTATCAAATAAATTACACGTCTCATGAATTTATTACAATTTCATGTTAATTACGAAGACGTAGCTTTATGGATGTGAATTCTCGCAATGATTTCGGCGATTTTCGATTAGAAATTTCACTCCTTCGTAGAGAGGAGGCCGACACTCATTTCCGGTGAAATGGACGTGCCGGACAAACAGCGTCCCGACGTCCTCCCTTTTTATCGACGGAGGGCGCCGTTAAACGGCGTCGGGTGTCCAGGGCTCGAGGCGCTTTTGTCGCGTCCTTTTTACAGCCCTCCCGGGCCCGGGATCTGCCGCATGCGGCCGCCGCGTGCGGCAGGTCAGGGCTGGGATCGATCGCGACGCATCGATCGGCGGAAATCGGTCGAGCGGCTCTCTC